AAAAAAACTGCACATTCAGGCTTAATACTACTGCAGAGTATTCTTAAAGTTAATCTCTCCGGATATGCCTAATTATAAATATTCCTCTGAATATGTTAGATGCCTGAAATATTTGACTATTTTTTCATTAAAAAGACAAGACAAAGGGGAGGATTTATGATTAGTCAGACTTAGGTAATATTTAGGTAATGCAAATATTTGTGAATGTGGCCTCAGAACCTCACACAGGAATGTGTAGCTTTGTTTCCATCTGTGTGTAGTCTTAGTTTCCCTTCCAGATTTGTATTTGATTGATTTTACAGTACGGAGAAGAAAAAATAAAAATGCATTTTGTGTTTAAAATGGAACCCATTTCTGTATTTTGCAGGTGTCAAACTGTCGCACACAAATGTTTTGCCAATCCTTGTCAAAATGGTGGATCCTGCCGAAACCTCAGTAACACATTTCAGTGCATTTGTGGAGAAAAGTATTCAGGACGACTCTGTGAAACAAATGTAAGTACCTCTTAAACACCCAAGTCTCACAGAGACATTGTTATTGGACAAAATTGCTAGCCAAACTGGGCTTCTTTCTACAGATTAAACTCTGTTTAAATTAACTAAAAAAGTATTATGATTCTGAATGAATAATACTTTTGGAATACCTACTTATTATTAGTTATAACTGGGGAAAGCCTGTACAGGTTCAATTCTTCATTTGCTTTTAATTTAGTTTCTTTTCAGTTAATGTTAATGCTTAACTTTTTAATAATATGTGTAAATGTTTCCAAAGTAGTGCATATGCATTTACAGTATATAATATATGTTTGCCGCAAGAAACTGAAAGAAGATTTGAAGAAAAACATTGCTAAATTCTTTTGAAGGGGCGAGACTCAATATAATGAAAGCGAGATGAAGACACCTGAACTGCCACCCTTTGCACAACTTTTTAAAACTTAATCGAAATTAGTTTCATTGCCGTTTCCAAGCGCTGCTGTGAGAAATTTCCAAAGTCATGGCGACTTTGTCAGTTTTGGCTTTCCTTCCTGCTCTGCGGGTGATGCCAGTTTTACACGCCATACTCTGGACTGTAAGGACCTACCTGAACTCCACTGATTGGAAACCCTCTCAACACTGAGTGCACAAACATGCTTTTTGAAAAAAAGCTTGGTTTCGCTTTTAACAGTTTCTTAATACAATTTCAGTCACAATTCTAAATTCTTGTAAAATACAGAGCTATAACAAATTGAACTTTATCAGAGGTAGAAGACCGAGTTTCACCCGCAAGTCCAAATATACTTTATGTCTTACCTATATCTTTAGCATGAATACAAGTAAAAGAGCCACAGACCCCTTTTATTTTGTAAACACTACGCAACCCAGTAGTCATTTTTTTGTGGATTGTGTCTTCTTACATAGTTTCAAATGTGAATAACACTCTGCTGCATCCATCTTTCCACCAGTCTTTGTGGTTTGATGCCCCATTTAAGTAGACTCCTGGCCCTGCTTGTCATAGGCTATACAGCCCCGCACTGGGGGTTCGGCACTGACTTCAGATGAGGCACAAGCCTGGCCAACAGCACCATCCTCCTCCAAGTGCCTGGAGGCCACAGGGGTCACTGTGAATCATGGTCAGCTAGTGACGAGATCTGGGATCGAGCCACTCAAGAGGTCCCCGGGCCAAACATTTTCACATTGACCCGACAGCGCCGTTCTGAAACCTCACAAGAAACGGTGTTATTTAACGGGGGTTCAGGAGAAGGTCAAATATGAATGTTGCGTTTCTGCTCCCCGACATACAGGAGCCCTCTGGCTCCTCATTTCTGGTTTCCCTCCCTCTACCCCACCTGCAGCAGTTCTCCCTGGCTCATGTCTCATTAGAGAGAGGGGGGGGCAGTGGGAGTGACAGCCCTGATCTCAGCCTCAGCACTGTCGTGTCCTCAGCACGCCAAAGTACGAAGCACGCTGTCTTTTCACATTCCTTCGCCATCATTAGAAATCGAATTCAGGTGTGATGAGGATACATTTGAATTTCTTTTCAATGTGGGGGGGCATATAAATCAATACATAGGCGTCTCCAAACAATTTATTGATGTGTTTTTGCAGAAACAGGAGCAAAAAGACAACACGATTCCCCTCATCGCTGTTGCCGTCCCAGTAGCCTGCGGCTGTGTGCTCCTGGTCATCATCGGCCTCATTTTCATGGTGCTCACAGCCCGGAAGAGGCGCCAGTCCGAGGGGACGTACAGCCCGAGCCAGCAGGAGGTGGCAGGAGCACGCCTGGAGATGGATAGCGTCCTGAAAGTCCCCCCGGAAGAGCGCTTGATATGATCGGAATTCCTGTGGACAGTGCTCCTACACCGACAGCGACCACCAACGGGATCTTGTTCAAAGATGTTGCGAAGTGCCGGGAGGGACTGACCTCCTGCCAGCGCAGGCGGTTTGGACATTGAATTGATTCCACTAAAGTGGAGAAACGTCTGCCGAAGGGACAACGCCGAAGGTCGGTATGTGATGGACTGTAAGTACACCACTGGTGTTGAAGCTGGTCCGTTATCTGCCTTGATAGACAGCCGTTGACTGTCCAGCACTCCAGCCCTGATGAGTGATGTGCACATCACAGCAAGAACCAAAACTGCTGCCAGGCAGGAACTGCTGTCAGGACTGATTCCACTAAACTGGAGTCTCCTTTGTTAGGGATGAGCCCTGCGCTCATACTGTTCTGACCTTCAGCCAATGGCCGGAGATACATATCTACAAGTCAACAGATGTGCGTTTACTGCTCTCAGGTTGTAGGATTAAATCAAATTCTCATTGCAAAGGTGACCTACTAAAAATGTAACCTTAAAAGCGACAGCATCTATTGTCCAACGCATAACCTGTGAAACCTAAATTATTTTTTTTTTTTGGCTGAATGTGGGATATTATTTTGTTTTCATGTGTTTTGTAACATTGAGACAACAGCACATCACCTGAACAATTTGGTGGCATCGGAGCTTAAAGCTCAGTAATTAAGAGACTGAACTTTGGGACATTTCGGTCCCCTGGCATACAAGAGTTGCATTTTTTAAATTATTTTGGCCATAACCACTGTTGTTTTGACCGCATAAGGCAGTGCCACTACTGTATTTGTACTTGATGTTATATGCGATTGTTGTGTTTTGAACCATAAAACTCTATATATCAAAGACTAAAAAAAATTAAACACATTGCTCCAACTCTCAAAAGAAGCACACAGAGACCTTCAGAAATGGTGGCTTCAATTACACAAAGCTGGGAGATAGATGTGGGAGTATGTAGGGAGAGCTGATGTCACTTGATATGGAGTAAGCACACAGTGCTGAGAACTGGACTAAGGTAAACAGACTCTGGCTCCCCTGTGACCCTGTATTAGATTAAGCGGTTAGAAAATGGATGGAGAAAACCTTAATCTCATTATTTGACATTATCCATCCATCCATTTTCTAACGGGCTCATACAATTGAGAAGCACGGGGGAGCCCGAGGCTATCCCAGCAAGCAACGGGCTCCAGGTGGGGTACACTCTGGACGGGACGCCAGTCCACCGCAGGGCACACACACACACTCACACTCACTCATACCAGAGCTGGTTTTTCCAGAAGCCAATTAACCCACCAGAATGTTTTTTTGAATTCTGGGAGGAAACCAGAGCACCTGGAGAGAACCCATGTGAGCACAGGGAGAACATACAAACTCCACACAGACAGCACCCCAGTTCCTATGCAACACCATTTCATTCCGCAATATAGTTTCTGGGGATGCTATATTGTAAATAGGAAGAATTATGTATGTATATTTTGTTAAAGTCATGAATTATGCTACTTTATTCCTTAGAGAACAAAACATACAGCAGATCATTTAGGCTTGGTGGACAACATACACTATGGACAGTTTAATGTCCACCATGCTTTCCTACAAGAACACAATAACTATGCTAAGGTACTGACGCTGGGCGTTCCGTGCAACACAAACATTTTTTAATATATGGGTAGTTCAGTTATTGTTTTCATCCTTATCAATGAAATTATTTTTGTGATACTGTAGAATGTGCCTAGGCAACGGTGTTTAGGGATCTTTTTTAAAGTTTTTAAATAAAAGGGCTATAATATCGCTAATGTCTTGCTTTCCGAAATACAGTATAACAATACATGCTATCAGGGAAAACGAAAGTAACGCATTTATGTACTAAAGTGGTTCGTTTTTAATGAAGGATTGACATTGATTGTGCATACATTTCTTATTTGACAAAGGGACACAAATTCAAAGGAATATTCAAGTCTGTCTTTGCTAGTGATCAATAATTGGCCCGACTTTTTTTTTTACCTAAACAAATAAAATATTTGGAATGTTTGACTCCTTATGTATAATTAAGGCTACATTTACCTGAGTTCTTCAGTTTAAAGAAACGTAAACAGACAGAAGAAGCAGCTTGTACTGTTTGTGCCTTACTCTGATTTCCCTAATTATGTACACTGTCATCTCATTTTCTGTTACTAGAAGGCCCTAATATTGACTTTTTAGTCATTATGTTTCAATAAAGCAAAAAAATGGAAATACCCTACGATAAAGTATTTGTCATAAATTTAGAATTCAATTTCTACTTGTTCATGGGTATTTTTGGCCACCAAGCGATACAGTAAAGGAAAAAGACTTTCTGATAGACGTACTCGAGGACTTTAAAGATGAATGAGAAAGAAAATGATTTCACATTTGCAAAGGCGTCACTGACAGGACCTCAGCTCTGCTCTGCTGCAGAGAGCTCTGACCTGGAAGCACATTACCCTGATGCTGGTGCTCTGAGGTTCGTCATCTTCCACGTCTCTCAAACAGGAGCTAAACTCGCCTTCTCCCTGGGGACTCACTGTGCCGAGTAACTGGTAAGTGAAACAAACGTTAATGCAGACAAGAAAATCACTTTTAATAAGAATGAGAGTTCAACAAAACGCCATACTTTTTAGGTGGTAGTTTATTCATAATTGTGAAATAATATGAACCTGACAAATCTCAATTTAAAAGCACAGAAAAAAAGCACTGGTCAAAGTTTATCACTTAATAGGATTCCATGGCACAATAAAGGGTCTTAACTGTAGATGCACCGCTTGTGTAATAATAAGTGTATTTTGAAATGCCTGTTCCCGTGTATGAAGTAATCGAATTAATAAATTAAAGATGGAAAAGAACGAGATGTCCTCAGGAAGAAAAATAAGTGGCGATTCCTCCCAAGTCTGTAAAATACAAACAACACACAATTGTATAAAAAGAAGTAAAAGGAAACACAATGTGCAAAAAACAGGTAATAAAAGCCAAAGTAGGATTATGGGGTAGATGATAAACTTGTGCTATTTAATACTGATGTATTAAAACAAAAAAAAAACAACAAGAAATCCAAGCAAAACAAAATACAAATCACCCGACAGTTTCCCGAGTCCTAAATGGCAGTAAAGTCAATAAAAACAAGCCTATGTTTCACAGTTTAACAGGATATACTCTTGGAAAAAAGAACATGAAATGACACAGGACATGCTTCGATTAAAATGACCGACTGGTACTAGCTGACTTTGAGCTTTCTCTTATGGTAAGGCCACACTTTTATTTGAACTTTCACATCATGTAATGCCAGTTGCACTGCAGCGTCTTTCATAATTTTTAAAAAATTTATTTTGTACAAAAGATCAAATGCGTCCCCTTTGAGTGTGTTGGCCACAAACCGGATTTGCAGGTGGCTCCTGTCTGCATTCCATACATCTTTCATTTTTCTTAGATGATAAAATGCCTGATATTAAATAAAAAGGCTGGCAGAGGTGATTTCTTATCCAACCGATAACCTCTGCTTTTTAGAAACTGAATAATACCAGCTGTGTTTTGTCGGGATTTGCATTTTTAGTCAGACTGAACTACATCATAAAAAGAAAAGTTCAGTATAGAACTTAAAAAGTATGTTCACTTAACCCAATTTTTTTATTTTATGTTTTTCATTTACTGTAAAGTAAGGAACCATTTTAAAGTTTTTTTTTAAAAGGGAACAAATTCATCCTGGTTGACTGTCAGCCTTAGTTTCAATAACATTCATCTCGTAAGCAAAATAAAATGTGTAGTGACGTTTTTTAGTCTTACAGTTTTCAACCTTTTTGACGTGCTTCTATGTTTTCTTTTTGGAACTGAGGTATCTGTTGCTGTTTCTTATTAAACATTGTACATCTGTTACAAGCCCAAGACATTAAAAGATAATTTGTTTTTTAACAACTGAATGATAAAATAAATCAATATAGTGATATATTACTAATTCATTTCCAGCAACAGCACAAGTCAGGCTAATGTTTTATTTGCCTTCTAATTGTTGAAACATACCAATGGGTAAGATTTTTCATCCAACAAGCTTCTGATCTTTATTGTGAATGCATTCCTGCTTTGCTTTCCAGTAATAACATATTCTGGGATCTAAATCATTTGTGTGAATTATTCAGTGTAAAGTTGATTCTTTCCTAAATAATTTTCAGATAAAGCGATCACCTGGGAGATGAAAGGGTCCTTAAGACTAGAACTGGGGAAACACTCAGCAAATCATTACTGCACTAAAGAACTGTTATTATTATGAATAAAGCAGACAAATGGGTTCGTTTTAATTGCTCACAGTTCCTTGCTTTTCAAATGACCTTCTCCTCAATACTAGCTGACCTCATCTTTACCCAAAAATTAAATTTAAAACAGTCTTTCAATATTGTGACTGCTGTAAAGAAGAAGCAAATTCTGCCTTAAATATTGCTAGCTAATAACACAGGAATAAATATCACTCCATTACAAGCCAGGTTCCTCTGTGTTTTCAGATCACCAATGCCTCCAGCTTTGCTTAGATATTTTAAGAAGAGGGAGTGTTTGATATCGGTAAGTAACTGGCAATTAAATTAAAAAAACATAACAAAGTTAAGCAATACAGATGGCAATTGATTTATAAGTGATAAGCTATACTGTCTTGTTGCTGTGTTTCAAAACGACCTCATAATACATTGCAAGTTTCATTACATTCACTCAATAATTAACCCACAGAAACCATTGGATCTGCAGTGTGAGTATCTTCCACGACCTCAACATGGTTCCTTAAAGCTTTCAATTGCACTGTGACCTGTGAAGGCCTTGAAAATGAAATAAAGCTAACGAGCTATAGGTACGTCCCAGGATAAATAAGATCAAAGGACTCCCTAACAGAAACAGAGAAACTTGAATTAGGTGGAAGACTACATTTAAAAAATTACACTTGTAAAGATAAAGTGAAGTCAGAATGGTGTCAGTACATCCACATAATTATATGGATTATTATTTTTTAACCATTTGTTAAAGGACTTCACTCTCGTTACATCGGTATACCATTTGGAATACATAACCTTGATCTAATATATATATATAACAACAACAAACTGTTGATTGTCTTAAAACACACAAACATAATGATGAAAAAAGTCACTAAAGTTGTCATTTTTAATTCTACTCTAATAAGGCCAAAATACAGTGTATACCTTTGAGTGAATTTAAATATTATACAAATTATGTTACAAACAAGATTTATACATAAACCGAATCTTCTTCCTTTTGGTATTGTAAGGAATATCCATAAAAAAATTCTGAAACAGCAATTTCATATTTTAAATACACTTCTACTAGAATACCATACTGAATGATGAATAAGTGTTTATGCTTTGAAATAGACACTGCATTTGCATAATGAAAATATTAATGAAATGGGTGCAGTTTTCCCTCAATTTAACTGCCCGAAAGGTCACTTGCTTTTGTCAACGTTTGGTTAAATATCTCTGTGAAAGACACAAAAATCCAACTCAAATTGGAAGTCTGCTCCACCAATTGTAACACTGTTAACATAACAAACAAAAACCCTACTAAATATCACTATTGTTCTTTGCTAAAACTATCACAGGAGAATATGCTTTGTGTTAAAATGCATCTACGGAAAACTAACAAAGGCTTTTTTGCTTTATGCTCTTATACAGTAAAAATGTCTTCTACAAGCAAAATCATTGAATGCAGACTGAATTCTACAAAAGCAAAATACAGTTGTAAAGAAGGCAGTTAACTAGCTAGTGAGCCTTGCATTGTAGCTATTGAGCTCTACTTAGAGGTATCAATTACACTGTACATGAAGCCGAAGCAAAGTGACCAGCATCCATTGAGAACATAGGTCACTTTTATAAGATTAAATCACCAATTCTAGCAGAAGCAAAATAAAAACGTCTGCAAAGAAATCAACTGACTTCTGCAGAATACTGTGAAATTACACAACATGGGCAAGGTATTGTAAATATGTACTGAAGCAGGGTGGGTCGGTTTTACTCCATCTACACCTCCAACGATAAATTGGCTTCAACTTACAAATACAGCAGAAGGACGTTATGCAGCTGGCCGACTGGGATGCCAGCAGGAGCAAACGGGTCAGAAAACCTCAAGTGTCTGTTTGCAACTGTGCCGTTACTTCAGTGCCAGCTACACCTCAATTCCCCCCTCAGCACAACGGTTCAACCGGTACCCCTCTGTGTTAAAAACCGAAAACAAAAGGACAAATCTTCCAGTGCAGAACTATACGGCTGGAGTCCAAAGTCACATTAAATCAGTCGATGCAGCTACAAATCACAGTGACCCCTCCGTGCCCCCAGGTCACTCAAAGGTTTCCCATCTTTTTCGAAGGTGGTCTACTCTCCTCTGCGTGGGGACCTCCACTTCCTTCTTTGTGACGGTCAACAAATCCTCAAAGGGATCCTGAGGCACCTCCTGGGGTCTGCCTGGGTAATCCGGTGGCTCTTCCCCTGCAGGCAGGGACTTTGGCACGGCCAGGGGCATCTCCGGCGGGGCTTTGCCGGGCCTAGAGTCAAGGACGTTGGCAGTGGCAGTGCTGCTGCTGCTGCTGCTTAAGGAACCAGCCTGTGGAAAGCTTGCTGGCTTTCCTGGGCTTTGGCTCTGGTGGATGTACCCTTGCCCCAGAGAGGTGGGCTGGCTGAAGACAGCTGATAAGGGTGAGCCAGCATAGTGGGGCTTAGGGGGAGTCTGGAAATATCCTGTACCGGGAGGTATGTAAGCCGAGCGGAACGGGTTACTAACAGGACCGACGTAGTGGGTCCCTGGGGGACCCGTCGGTGTGTAATGCAAGTTCTGAGTGAAAGGGTTGAGAGAAACCTGTGGGAACTGTGCCATCGGGGTTACAGGATGGGGATACCCCTGCTGCTGAGCGAATGCCGGGCACGGAGTGTTAAAGTCAGCCCCTACAGAGGGAAAAAGAGCGGAGCTGGTGGCCATTGTGGGCGCCGAGGCCGCCCCCATGGGAGGGTTGTTTATCTGGGTGCTGCTCTGCGAGCCTACTGCCGCGCTCAAGGGGTCTAACAGGCTTAATAGGTCATCACTGCCACTTTCAGAGCTGACTTTAATTGGCTTTAGGATGTCGGGGCCAGCGAGGTGTGAGGGGAGGGGGGACGCATTCAAAGCCTGCCTGAATTCTTGTCCGCCACCTTTGGTGCCCAAGGTCTCCTGCTGGAAGGCAAAGTCGGGCGCCGCCTTTCCCGCGTCTCCGGCCAAAGGAAGGGTCTTCCCTCCCCTGGGCTGGGGGACTGGCGGGGGAAGCCCCTTGCCCAGCTCCGGCGTCTTGCGTCCCTGCGGGCGCGGGATGGTGATGCTGCTCTGGCCCCCGGCGGCGGCGGGCTCTGTCTTGTCGAAGGCGGCCGCGCAGCTCTCCCTGGAGGGGGGCCGCTGCGGGTCCGCGGGCTCCGCGGGGGGGGCGGGCGCAGGCCTCTCGGGGCCCAGCGAGCCCCCAGCGGGAACGGCCGCGTCGTCCAGGCCCGGGCTCCACAGCTTGTTGTACGGGTTGGAGTGCTTCAGTCCCGGCAGGGTCCGGGTGCGGTCAGCGGCGCTGAGATCCATGCGCTGGACACAAAACAGCAAAGACGAGAACGAAAGGCACAAGAGTAACATTTGTTGTCACTGTTCTGTCAGCAACGGCTGAGAATCTTAAGCGCCGTTTACCGCCAGAGTTAGGATGCTAGAATGTCAAACCCCAGACGAGCAGGTTCCCAGAACCTGCATGAAGGACAAGTTTGCTAGATCTTCGAGGAGGTACTCAGATTTTAGAGCAGATGAGAAACCCTCTGACGTGTGGAATTGTGAAATTGTAAGAACTTAACAAGAATCTGGAACCTGCTTATGAGCCTCCAAACGGCCTGGAAGGGAAGCAACCACTGGGCCTTCGGTCCCCAGAGATTTAGTCTCTCTATTTGTTTTCCTCATCGTTGTGCCCGTTGGTCTACTGGACCTGTACATAAAGCTTCTGCTGTACAGATGTCTATAAAACGTTCTACAGCAATTTGTTGTGAGTCTCTATAATAAGTAAGGATTGACTGACTGAATACATTCTGCAAGACACTTCGACATTTAGGACACAAATTAGCACACAGATATCACCATCATTCCTCTCACTAGAAGAGAAGCATATTGCATAGCATGAGAACGTGGGACAATTGCCTTTTCAAACTGGAGACACCTTAAATCCCATGTAAGCAGGAGGCAGAATTCTGCTGGTGTCTCACAGGATTTGCACTCTCAAGTTCCTGTGTGCCTGATCTGAGCTCATGTTGCTCCCCAGCTTAACAGCCACTCCAGGCAACAGAGAAAGGTGGTGAAAATAAAACAGAGACGCTAAAGAGACGCTGCAGAAGAAAGCGGAACCTGTCACCAATTATAATTAATGCAAATTAACACACGCCACATATGTTTATATCTATGTACAGTTTGTAATAATAAATGTTTCTTTTTTTCTTTTTTTTAGTCTAATGTGGACTACTGGAGCTAAAGGGAAACATGCATTCAATAATTCTAAATTATCATTCAACTGCAGTATAATATTAAACACGGGAGTTCCTCATAATCTAAACAGTATTTTACATTCTTTAAATTTGACATAACCCCTGACACGTACAGTATTAATACTGATTTCATTAGTGACTGCTGCCTCTCTCCCTAAAACAGAACTGCTCAGCAACACGCTTCCTGAAAGCGAAGCAAAACATGAAGAGATAACAAGTCCTGGCTTGCCCACGTAGATTCTGTATCACACATGACGTGGGCATTTTTCCCAGGACAGCTCAGTGCACATGGGTGCGAAAAACATACATTAAGAGTTATCGCTTGGGATGGCCAATGAGATACAGCGTGTAATGCTAGTACTGGGAGGTAAATAAGGGTATATTACAAGTTAAATGGATATTAAATTAAAGGGAGGTTTTATTCTATACAGTGGTTCCACTTAGTGTTTGCATGGTACATAGAAAATCCACTGTTACACACAAAGACGACTTAAATGAGCAAACTGACCCTGCAAACGAGGAAGACAAAATGGTGGAATCCACAAACCTAACAGTACTGCTCACAGCAGCTCCTCTACAAACTTGAACACAACGTTGACTTACTGGCTTATCTCACTTCGTATCGATACATAACCCCCTATCCTTCTTTTAGATCGGTTATACCTGTAATGCTGTTAAAACACATCTATTTCAAAGGCACTTCTGAATGATTACATCTTGGGCTTCTTTAAAAATGAAATGGCAAACAGTGGATAAACCAAACAAAAGGCCCAATGGAAGCATGATAATGACACAGGTTCACTTGTGTTGAATTCTGACCATGTAGGCAACACTTCTGCATTAAAAGTGATACAAAAGGAATACATATCTGTACTGTGCTGTAATTCAGGACCTATGAAGGCCTCATATTACAGTCCTCAATGAAAGGAGGTCCATTTGAATCTGCACTAATACTCTTCATTAATAAACAATTGGCTTGTCCAGAACAGACGTCTTTAGTTCTTCCGTGACCAGCGCATTCTCTCTTCCTCTTTCAATTCTGAATTCCTGATTTTTTTCAATTTTAACCGAACTCAGGTCTGGAATCATCGCTCGGTCATGGACAGCTCAGCGCACGGGTGCTGCACCACCCCCAGCTCGCGTGCACTCATTGTGCCTGTGCTCTTTTCCTCACCTGGTAGCCGAACTTCACCTGCTGCCCCTCTTCCTCTTTGGGCGTCCTGAGGTCCTCCAGGCTCTTGGCTTGGCTCAGGGGCTGGCTGTCCGAGTCGATGTCCAGAGTGTTGAAGATGTCGTCCAGGAGGTTGATCTCTGTGATCTTGTCTGAGGCCACGGGGCTGGGCGGCGCCGTGTGTCCCAGGACTCTCTGAGACTCTTGGGCCTCTTCTCCCTCTGCGATATCTGAATCTTTCAGCGTCTTATAAGGCTGGGGCCTGAAACAGCAAGGGACATGCTAGGTAAATCAGAAGCATTACAAGACCTATATTAAGTAATGTGGATTAGGAAACTGGTATCAGAACTTTATGATAAAGGGATAAACATTGTGATGGGTAATAAGTATGTGCCCTGTGCCCCAAGAGGTTGAAAACTATCATTACTATTGCTTAAAACTAAATGGCACAGTCTCTGGGAGTGTGTTTTAACGAAATGTGCCTAGTTATCTCATGCTTAATCTTATATATCTCCTTATCATGTTAAGGTAATAAACTTTATGCTTTTATCAGATCTGAGCCAATGAATTGGTTGTAAGGAACTCAGCAGCTGAGGGTTATAAGGGGTTGCGCTCTGCCTTTTAAACCTTGTGCAGGTTCAGCAAACTGAAGAACCAGCAAGAGCGTCAAGAAGGCTTCTGAGGGCACTTGCCTCGTGCAGTCTGGCAGCTGAGACTGCTGGGAAATAACTGGCCCTCTGTGCCAGCTGCTCTGGAGACTCACCCAACCAAAAAGGAGGTGCAAAAGGGATTGGAAAGCAGTAAGCTACACTTTGTGAACAGCCAGGTGGGAAAGGCTCAACAGTAAACTAATCATTAAAAAAAAAGAATCTTTAAAGGAGGAGACCATTCAAAGGGAGCGGAGAAAAGAAAGTTTTCAGAGAAGCCAGAAACAGAGCCGTCTTCATGCTGGAATTCATCTCCCGATGAGTCCTCTGAAAGGAAGACAGTGTAGTGCCTCGTCGGCCTTACAGAGCTGAAGGAAACAAGGAAGAGAAAGTTCAAACCACAGTGACAGAGAGGGGTAAAGTACGACTCAAGCAAACACCTGGAACCAGTGAAAGCAATTTGTGGATCCATACTCTTACTGTCTCAGCAACGTGAGAGTTGGTTTCGAGATCTAAGGGAGAACTGTATTTCCTTCACCATTTTAAACTTAACCGCTTAAATAAATATATCCATTGAAGGTAATAACAATCCACACAGAGACAATGCCATAACTTCCAAAATATAATCTGGCCAATTCCTGAACAATACTTATCCACACTTTGGGTGATCTGCCGTCTACAACAACACAGTAGCCCATTTCAGCTATTTTTGCAAAAAGTAGAAGTTCTCCCACATGTAACAATGATATAGTGTAATTTCAAAACATGCTTTAGTGTGTAAATCACATGAAGAAAACAAGCAAGAGAAAGACATTTGGCCCCTATACCATTTGGTGCTAAGTTTATAGATGTTACTAGAGCTACAGTCACCTTTGAAAGGTGTTAACCAGAAATGGACACAGGATTCGTGGCAGAACATTATCAGTTTGAATTCGGCTCTCATGGTGTAGCCAGACACAAATTTTGGTCTGTTTGTGTGGATTTGTTTGGACGTAGATGCACTCGTCATTCTTGTTTCTCAGGTTCTGCATTTCCATCCATGATCAAAAGCTGCCTATTTCCTTTTTAAGGGTCACAAATCCCCCGAGACTGCACTGGAAGTATCGGGAGGAACTACACAGGGCCCACACCTGGAACTATTCAGAGACGCCAATTCGCCTGGCTAGCACGCCTTCGGAAGACAGACCCTTCCTAAGATGAGCTCTGAGGCAGCAGTGCTAAGTGCCACATCAGTGGGGCCTATTAAATATTGCAGAACATTCATTTTTTATTCCGCACCAACACTCTTGACTCTTACATGAAAACTACAAAACCAGTGCTATAACTGATTGGCAAAATTTCAACAGATATTAAAGCCCAAAGTTAAATTAAATAAAATCAGTACAGACTGAAACATGGATGAAAAGTACATACTAGACATACCTACAGTAATTGTATCTTCTGAATTTTCCTTTTAGGTCATGTATTTTACATAGCAAGTATCATATTACAGAAGAATGATAGAAGTATCAGACCCTAGTTATAGGGTAGACTCAGGGTATGTACAGGACACTGAACCTTATGCAGGTCCGCTGTCCACTAAGCCCTGCATTGTCATTATACATACAGCTGTACTGCCAAGTGTAGCCACATGTATAGTTGATGCTCACAGTATGCCTGTAAATATGCTTATTATTTTGATCATTTGACATGTTATGAATCTTCTATGGCAAAGCTCATTGTCATCTCTCTTAAAACGAACAAGGGTGTGATCCCCTGTACATATGTACATACATACACAGAAGTATAATTAATTTATACAAAGTCACACTTTAATTTCTTACAGTAGTTACCGGTACACATACTACAGCATTTGTACATTGTAATGGGTGATTAAAATAATTATCTGAATGTAATATTTTAAAAATAACACATTCACATGAAAACCATCAGAATGGCACCATTAAACCTGAAACATAAAAATCTGATTTTTCACACAGGTATATACAATACATTGTCCAAAATAAACGCATTTATAACACAGCAAAATAAGGAAGGCAGTAGCATAAATTATTTAGCATAAAAGCAATTTAAAAGAAACAGCTGCACTGAAAATACACACAGACAGACACTGGAGTAACAAAAGAAACTGAAAGATTATTTTTGGAATAAAGAACAGTTTATCCAACAAAATAATAACTGAAAAAATAAACATGAATACGATATAAACAGATGATTTGTGTAAAGAACAATTCAAAGACAACATGTTTTATCTTCAATATTGTGCTCTTTTTAAATCATGAATAAGATAACTATTTTGTTTTAAGAGTCTTCAGGAAAGATTATTTTGGAAACCAGTCTTTAACACCAAAGCCTGTCTTATCTGTTTATGTCTCCTACTGAAATTCAGCCATCAATCTGCTTTGAAGGATTAATACCATATTCCTTTGTCTCTGTGTCAGTTTCCATCCTTTAGCAATGGACAATACTTTCCTTTGTTTTCCTAATTAATTTGATTTCTAGTCATTTTTGAAGGCTATCACCCAGGAACATCTCCACTCACACAGAGGAGTGTCAGTGATAAGTCACATGAAAACAGCACACAGAAGACAACAAAGTTCACAACAGAAAATACCACAGGAGGAAAGAGAAGAGAAAAATGAAACACTTTTCTGACTACATCTTACTGCTTATTTATCTCTATTTAACAGTTTAATTAAACTCTTCAACTAAAAAGTGTTTAGCAGAGATAGTACAGATGAATTTGCTTTTAAAAAGTAAATTCTTCTCTGTCCAAAGTGAATACCCCCTAACATTCAGATCAAATATAAAACAGCCCATTTGTATGATCTGAGACTAGATTCAAGCTCTTCCAGTTTAGTACAAACTAAATAAAATCATTCTGAAACTGAGGGGGGAAAAAAGAGGAGAGTTTGATAAAAAAATTAATTGACTGTATTTTATCACTCAAAGCTTTTACTCCGGTCGTGGAACTCATCTCATCTCCCAGGCAATTTCAAAGGTAAGAGAAGTATAATAAAGAAACCAACACGAGATTCTGTCCGTCTCTGCCCCAGTCCCCGTTATTGTCACATGAACGCACCGACTCCTACAAAGATAATCCCGGGGATGAGCTACAATGCAGATGACTTGCCACTCTTTCTAATGTTTAGTTTAACATGCTCTTGGCTCGCGATAACATGTGACAGCCCAGACAGCCGTAGCTGTTCCTTGTTAACTATCATGTCAAAAACACAGCACTGCAAAACTAGGATGCGCTTCATGGCTCCGTGTATAGTATGATAGTGCCAGCTTATGTTTTAATGAGGAAGATCTGTGTCTTGAGCGCTTGCTTAAGTGTCAGGAATCACGGACAAATCAGTAACACATCACAGTGGCCAGGAATGAAATGTTGACAAATGCAGATATTTCACTTTTAATTGACACTTAGAGACGAAAATGATCTTGTGAAGGATTCTGGGAAGGAACTGAGAGGGGGAGCGTCTCTGAGAGGGGGCTGTAAATATTGGACAAAAAGGGGAGGGGGGCAGAAACAAAACCCAAGATACAACTGAAAAATATTAACGGAAGTATTCATTTTCAGTGAGGAAATAACGGCACATCCCAGACGCAAAGGTATTTTTCTACTGCTGTTCGGAGAGAATGCCCTATTTCACGATATTTGTATTATTCTGTTTTTCTTTGCTGATGTGAGGTTTACATTCGAATTTATACTATTCTGCCTCACAGAATTTGAAAAAAAAAATGCCCCCTGCAGCAATGACTTTGCAATGACAGATGCATATTTCATTGCTAAAGGAGAAATGCAGTATTTAGAATTTTAACCCAAGTTAAAAGTCGGGGAGAACTGCTTTTCTCACAGATTAAGGGAGTCAGAACTGCGCATGAGTCTCACAGAATTTTAGTTCACAGAATTTAATTTAGATTCCATTTGCCTGACCTGTGACTCTCAGCATTAACACCCACCACATAGATCAGATATCGCCAGTACAAAATAAAAACAAAAGAAATATAATGTGTGCAATCAAAGTGGATCTACAGAACTTCAAAATATAAATGGATTTGTCTCTCTAGGTTTCCTCAAATATTGAATTTCAAGCCATAACAACGCGATGGAAACAAAATCAACCACGAAGACCAAGGTGCTTTGACAACAGGAAAGAAGTGGTGGAGAGAGATCAGGAAAAGGTCACTTATCCCTTTAACAGGAAAGTAAAAATATATAGCATTCATATTTGCATCATGTTGCCCAGACACTAACTAGCTCAGGCCACCCTTCCAAAGAGAAGGGGCATGCATGAAACGAATACGGAGCTCTGAAATGTGATTCACGGTTCGTACATGTACAATATCTCAGTCCCCCACAAACCTGGCCTGGACAGTCAAGTGGAAAGATAGCTGTTACTGAAAACCATTTCTCTTAAATCTATAAAATATACCATGGAGTTGTGGCAGACGGTTTTATGGTGAGATAAGACACAAATTGAACCTTTTTGGTGAAAATACATCTGAAAGAATGAACGCAGAACACCCCACAGTCAGCACCATCACAATGTTAAGCACTGTGGCGGCTTCATTTGGTTATGGGAAAGCTTCTCATTAGCAGGGACTAACT